TAACAAAAAGTAAATGACTCATTTAAAATGAAATAACATATTCAATTTGTGCAAATGAAGTTTAGCAACTCATTCTGACTAATGAAAATCCAGAGGTTATCATCAATTAGGTTCATGTAAATCCTTTGTTAATATCATGTCCCACTCTAACACACATTACTAAGGGGCAGAAGGATTTCCAGGGTAATTTTACATCTTAATGAGATCTGAAATGTCATGATACTGTAAAAATGTAAGCAGCAGGTTATTTCACAACATGTACACACTGCACATCAATTTCACAAGCTAAGATTTATCTGGGTACCCCCACATAACAAAAATGTTGAGCTCTTCTTGCTCAGAATTAAAGGTTTACCTTTTCTTGGTGAAAACCAATTTCTATTGTAAATGTTATACCACATAAAATCTTCAACTGTGAAGGACAGTAAAAAAATTGAAGGAAACTGCTTTAACAACATGCTGCAGTTATACTACTCATTTAATACATAGCTCTCTCTGGCATGTGCCTATTTCACGGGAAACATTCCCCATGGAAAGAACAAAGCTATCGTAACAGCAACATGGTCATAGGAATACAAAATATCTACAAAAAACCCCCTGCTCTTAAAAAGACTGGCCAGTCAGATGAGTGAAACAAACACATTGTTTGCTCTCATTCTGATCCAAACTGCTGACTTCTGAGCTAGAACTAAGAGTCAACAGTTAAGCCTCCTTATGGAAAAGCTGCTTATACCGTGCACCATTAATATGCCTAGGAATCTCACACACCCATACATTACAGAGCTTTACTGCATTTTTACTTATTCAATGACATTATGCCACTATTCCTCACAATGAGTACTATCTTGTTGATTACACTTACTGGCATCAAGGTTTGCCACACATAAAGCATCATTTAACCCCAAGTAAAACTGACAGAACTAAGATTAAAAGTACTGCTTTAATTATGCCATCTGCCACATGCCTCTTAAAAAGAATTAAAATGTGTATTAGGGAATAATGCCTTTAAATGCAATTAAAATTGCCTATAGACTGGTAGAACTCATTGAAAGCAAAATTCCACAATGATCCCTGAGTGTGAGATACACATTAACAATTTAATATAAAAGCTGAAGTTTGAATAAACATTAGTTTGAGTTTTTTGAAAGAGCTGTAAATCAAATCAGAGCTTCAACAGCTGCACTTCAAAGGCTGAAGTGGAAAAAGCAAAACAAAACATTACAACTACTTCCCCAGAAATACATTTCCCTAATATTCACTGATATCAAAGGCCCATACTTTTAGGTTTGAGAATTTATCATGAGACATCAAAACCAGACAGTAGAATAATGGAAAACAAAGACTAAAACCAGCAACTCTGTACAAATTCCTACTCACAGAACAGAAAATAATCAAAAGTGTTTGAGCGTGAATGTCTTAGGTTATTGTTTCTTTTTATAAAGCAAGAAGAAATGTAGCACAAAAATTCCAAACAGCCTTTTTGCATGAAAAACAGCACTTTAAACCCAGAAGCAAATACAACAGTGTAAATTTGGAATAATGTAATATTCAAGGTGAGTATATACAGTAACAGAATTCAGTTTAGTTAAAATTATTTGCAATATACCTGATTCAATGCCATGTAAAACTTGAAGGTCTTCAGTGACAATTTTTTCTTATAAATTCCTGGAACAGGACATCAATAACCAGCACAGACAGATCACAGAAATGAAAGCCCGCAGGACCAAAAGTCAGAGATAGATCTTAAATTCCCACATGGCATCAGTGAAAAAGAATTAAGATGAGCTTTTAAATTTCAAAACAGATGTACTTCAGCAGAGAAAAAAACCAAACCATAAATACATACTTACAGAACAACTAATGCTGCTAAAATTTACTTTTTTTTAATCTCAGATTGCATTACCAAAGCATGTTATTTTCTTGGAAAAGTCTTCTAGTTATATTTGTGTTGGCAAGTAGTTTTTAAAACATTTACATCAGGGCAGAAAACTATGCTCACACCAAGACTTTCAAACCAGCCCTAGCACCATGTTCATTTGCCTTATTTTATATATTTGTTTATCCCCATTATGAGACCAGTCTCCTATATCATTTATTTACTTTATCTAAAAACATCAGCAAGTATGTAAGACTAACTGCTCTATGCACATTACATGTATTTGTACACTTCAACAAATAAAATAACTATGTTTTATCAGACAGTATGACAGACTAAGAATAGGATAAAATATCACTAGGACCTAAGGCAAATATACTATTTGGCCACAGGACTTAGTTCCCAGTTCTGCATGTTTCACCTTAAAATATACAAAGATACGCAAACTAATTAGTTGCAGGGATTTATCAAGTTTGTTTTCACTTTCTTTTCCCTTCTCTTTCCCATCTCAATGGCATTTCTTTTTCCTCCTTCATGCTTTAACAGACATATACATTAATAAATTTGTAGTGTTTTCCATCCAATACATTTAAATATTTCTCTTAGCATGACCCTGTCATTCACCCTGGCTCACAAGTGAAGTGCTCACTGGCTCCCAGAGCTGCCATGGTGTGTTTGGCTTAAGGGTAAGAAATAATGGTATCATTCAGCAAATGAGTTTGGTGACTTCTGGCTTACAGAGCATCTTTCCTCTTCTACACAGGAAGCTGGAGTACTATTAGAATATACTAGCATTAAGTTGTATTTTGATCATTTGTATTTCAGTTCTAGTGTAGCAATCCCTTCTTTAAACAAAATTATGATTGTCATCATTTACAATTTGGTTACCTTTTTAGATCCCATTAAGGCTAATTCCAAACAAAACAGCATGAAATTATTTAGTTCAAAAAGTTTCCATAATTTATCCCTTTCATGAATCATTTAAAGACTTCATGTCATCAACTGAAAACATTCATGTTGATCTCACAAAGAACAGACAATATATTATGCATGCTGCCCACTGATTTATCCTTTGAGAAAGTCTCTTGCAGGCCAATTGCCAATACTGCCACTCACTGTCTAAAACATAAATAGAAGTGCTTCTAGAATATAAAAGTAAATAATAATTGCCACTGGTTCAAATCAGCAGGCAGTTAAAACCCATATCCTGTGCAACATCAGCTGGTATCAGATGTTTCAGAGAAATGTATTTTTGAGTGGACTACTCTGAAGCAGTATATCCACTACTGAAGCATCTTAAAATTTTTCTTGGGATGGTCTATCTCTTCTTCATGTTTAAAACAAAATACCATCACACACAGAGTTCATACAAATAGTTACTCACTTTTGAAAAAAATTCTATTTGGTTTTCAATCAGAATAATTTTGTAGCAACGAGCCTCACAACAGTGCCTTTTCAGGAGGCCAAGGACAAACTGCACATCACATAAATTCCAACAGACTCAGGAACACATTGCCCAGGCAAGTTGTGGATGCTGCATTATTGGAAGTTTTCAAGGTTACAGCTTTAAATAGCTAGTGAAAGATGACTGTGTCCATGGCAGGAAAGTTGGACTAGATGACCTCTAAAGGTCCCTTCCTTTAGAAGGAACCGTTCTAGGATTCTGAAGTCTGTACTTGCCAGTCTAACACTACTTGGAAGGTATGCGTAGAAAACTGAGCAGTTCAGTTTCTGAAGATCAGATCTGCTTGGGTTTTGTTCTAGGACAAATTCCTGTTTCAAGAAGGCAACTTCATTGTACAAGCAATGTCAACAAATTCCACATGATTATCCACGTGTGAATTATTAATGAGTAAGTACTTACAGATTTATCATCTTAGCATTTACAAAAAGAACAATTTTTGCCTGCATTTCTTCACAAGTAATGGAAAAGATAGGATGAATTTAAAATTGTTCTAAAGGCAGTTTTATTGCCACTATAATAACCCCACTGAAACAATGGCCAGTTATCTTCCAATGAATAGTGCAATGATTTTGTTAGTCAATCATCAGGATGACGATAGCTGCATTTGATAGGAAAAAAAAATAAAACAAACCTAAAAAAACTCCATCCAAACTAAAATCCAACTAAATCAAAACTCTCTAGCAGCAACAGCTTGTACTATGCTATTTAACTGGCTTTACCTCAGTAGTTTAAATTTAAGAGTCAGCTTTAAGTAGAAATGCAGTGAAAACTGGAAAGAAAATTCCCCACCTACAGCTGTTACCTAAAATTAAACACAACATTTTTCTCTTGAAATCTCAAGTGTGCTTCAAAAAGGCACCATATGATCATATTTAGCTACTGCACTGTAGTTAAGAACATTTCATCCACAACAGATAAACAAAGACTACATTGAAACATGTTAAAAAATAAGCCAAGGTGAAAACCACGTATAATTACTTACAAGTCTCTAATCACTAATTATATATTTCATTTTAAGTGCCACCTATAACTTAGGAACATTTTCTTTTTGATCCTGTTATAATTTGCAACACAGGCAAAATAAAATAAACTACAAATATTTTGAAGGGTAAAAACTCCAACCTAAAATAGATGAACTTGTGTTAGGTAGAATAATGCTATGTAAAGAGATGTATGCTATTGGAATAGTACCAAGAAGATGACTTGTGCAAAACAGTAGGTGGTCTTAAACATCTCCAAGGGGATTGATTAAATGGCTCCAATCCACTTTAAAATACTTATCATTTTACTGAGATAGCCAGAAAACATGACAACAATATTACGTGTCTATAGCAATTCTATTTTTTCTTAACAGTATTGGGTCAAATTTTAAAGTTGTTATAGCACATGAAATTTTAAGGAACCAAAAACATTTTTTTAAAAAAGTAATTACAAGGTATTCTAATGTCACACACCACTGCTCATTTAAAAAGTCCTGTGTTAATCAGGTGTACTTACTTCAACAACCAGGATGAGGCACAAAAATTAGATATCTGGACAGTATTCTTGAAAGTTTACTTATTTTATTTGCATTAATATAGTTATAGAAAGGGATTAACTATTTTTGGCACATATAAAATAAATTGCATGCAAGAGATTAAACAATAAAGAAGTACTTACGAAATCAAAGTCTCCATCTTGAGGGACTTTCCAGTTATCAGGGAAAACGTTTTTGGATATGTGGTAAGGTTCATGCATGTTCTGATTACAGTTTTCAGGGCTTTTATTCTTGGAATCTTGTTTATCAAAATAGTCCATGAAAGAAGGTCTTTGAACTTGTGGTGAAGTAGCATTTCCTTAGTTGAAAGAAAATAGACAAAAAAGGTAAAAAACTCTGCAAACATTAAAGAATTAATGCACTATAAACTAAACTTCACTAATTAATTTTCCTGGGGTTTGCAGAAACTAATACAGTCATCTGTATGTGATGCAAGCCTCTGTTTGTCCCCTGAGGATCTCTGGCATAAAAGCTCATAGTCAAAGTATGATATTTTTCTAGCAAGATACAATGTGGAGAAATGTTCAAGATATTTCAGTGTTGCACACACAAATAATATGAGAAGTTACTTCATGCAGTATTCATGTGTTGTTATAGAGACTGAATAACATGAGGTGCTAAGCATCCCTTTGGGTGCTGAATGCCCCGAAACGTCAAGGCCTGGTCCACAGGCACTTGTAGGAAAGGAAGAGAGTTTCAGTAAAGGTTGGATTTAATAATAATAATAGTAATAAAAAAAAATTGAAAAAAAAACTTGCAAAATACAGGTACAAAAATTGTGTCTAGATGCTGCTTAATTTAATTCATTACCAATTAATATGCCCAGAAAATTACAGGATCACCCTCTACAGATGGTTGCAAAGCACCCTGTCTCCATATCCTGGGGGATTTTTTGTTATCATCAAAGAGCTGCAAAAGCTTTATGAAGCAGACAGGGATCATCATGAACTCCTGCTCTTTTATCCTTTTCACAAAACTAAAGGTAAAAAAATAAAATGTTCAGTCCTAAATGATTGAAATTTGTTTTCATTTGTGGGATTTCAAAGCAAATTCATTACTAAATCACATAATAAATGTGACATGACTGTCACCTCAGAGACCATATTCTGCATAGCACTGACACATGAAATGTCACTTCCTGGAAGTGTAACATATTTGACAAGAAGATATATAAAATATATTTCCACAAATAAAATATGAGAGATAAATAACTAAGATGGGGGGACCTAACACCAAAAATCAGACAAAACTACACACTTAAATTACAAGCATAACAAAGTAACAGGAATTTTTATCTGATATATTTATTTTAACAAGTGAAAAGGTAAACTGAAAATAGATTTTAAGCTTGTGTTTTACAAGATCACTAGGACTTGCTAATCTCCTTATCTGGCTTTACACTTGTTTTTATTCATTCGCTAAGTGGGTTTTTCCCCTCTCTTCCACTTCTTATTTCATCATCTCTTTCCATCTTCTTTGTCTTAAGATTTCCTAATTCATTCCAATTTTGCTGCACGGCTAATAGCAGCCCTTTTTTTCATTAATGTTTATTGTTGTACTGCCATCTTTTCACAGAATCATCAAGGCCAGAAGAGACATTCAAGATCATCTAGTCCAACCACTGACCTAGAAACACCATAATCACCACAACCACACCCCAAGTGCCACATCCAGACACTTGCTGACACTTCCAGGCATTCCAGAGATGTTGCCCCCACCACCTCCCTGGACAGGACTTTCCAATGCTTACTCACTTTTTCTGTGAAAAAAAAAAGAAATTCAAATATCTAATCTGAATCTCCCCTAGCAAAACCTAAGGCCATTTTCTCTCATCCTTTCACTTGAGACATGGCACAAGAGACCAACTCCCAGCTGGCTACAAACTCCTTTCAGGTCATTGTGGAGAGCAATAAGGTCACCCCTGAGCCTCCTTTTCACCAGGCTAAACACCCCCAGCTCCTCACCGGACTTGTGCTCCAGACCCTTCACCAGCTCCACTGCCCTTCTCTGGACACACTCCAGCACCACAATGTCCTTCTTCAAACGAGGGGCACAAAACTGACCACAGGATTCAAGGTGTGGCCTCCCCAGGGCTCAGTAGAGGGGGACAATCCCTGTCCTGGACCTGCTGGCCACACCATTCTTGATAAAAGCAAAGACTGCATGTTGATTTATTGCTTCTTTTCTTTCTGCTGTTCCTAAATTTTTCTGTTCCAGTAAGATTTCTTCTGTCATTTTTTAATGTGTGCTTCTACTGTCGTGCTCTAAGCTTTAGTGAATTTGACTTCAGCTGCTTTCCTTCAACTCCACAATGATTCCTTCAATCAATCTGTTATTTCCATACAAACCATCTTTTCCTCACATTTTTTAGCTGATTTTTCTCTCAGTTTTTGCCACATTTTTTCACATATTTTTTTTTCTAATCCCGGATCTCTACTCACTGTATTTTAATTAGTAGCAACTAACAATACAGTGAACTAAATTCCAGGTTAAATTTAACTGGCCAAACAGCAGACATGTTCTCCAGAATCTCCCAAGTTTGCCCCCACTAAACTCAAGATCACCTCAAGGACATTTCTTGATCTCTTGAATCTGGGACTCAGGAAGGGATGAAAAGTAAACAGCAAGGATGCCAAATAACTACAGGAAAGAGCACTAAAGAGCAAAAACCATAGTCATAGAATGGGTTGAGTTGGAAAGGACCTTTAAAAACCGTCTAATTCCAACTCCCTTTCCATGGGCAGGGATGCCTTCCACTAGATCAAGGTTCTCAAAGAGCCATCCAACCCGGCCCTGAACACTTCCAGGGATGGGGCATCCACAGCTTCTCTGGGCAACTTGTTCCAATATTTTAACACCCTCATACTAGATAATTTCCTCCCAATACCTACCCCAAACCTGCCCTCTCTTACAGTTTAAAGCCATTATGCCTTGTCCTATCACTACAGGCCACTGTCAGAAGTCCCCCTCCAGTACTCCTGTAGGTTCCCCGTTAAGTACTGCAAGGTCCTACAAAGTCTCCCCAGGGACTTATGTAGAGAATGAGACTTCTCTTCTCCAGGCTGAACAACCCCAACTGTCTTAGCCAGTTTTCATATCAGAGGTGCTCCAACCATTTTCATTGTTCTCCCCTGGATTTACTCCAACAGCTCCATGTCCTTCTTGTTTTGGGGGTGCTAGTGCTGAACACAGTATTACAGGTGGAGTCTCATGAGAGCTGAGTAGAGCAGAAGAAAAATGGAAGCATCTAAATTTTTAAAAAACACATATTTAGAAAACAGATCCAAGAGGAGATAGTAGTATGAAGGAGGTAGAATTAAAACCAGAAATACAATGCACATTTTTTAGTACAAACTGTTCATTACTTGGTGATCACTGCCCAAAACCCCTGAAACTGTTTGTACCACAAAGATAGGACACCACCACATTGCTGGCCTTTCACAACCAATTTTTTCTTCTGTTGAGATGGCTGCACTTAAGTTTCATTGCTGAGACATAGTTATAAACAAAAAGATTGCCAATGTCTCTGTGCAAGACTCCAAGTACCAAAATGTTGGCCCATTACAGGTAAGGAAGTCTCCATTCTCTCACACATAAGGCAATACTAAAGATTTTCCAAGCACTGCTGGTAATTTTAAAAGCTATTTATAAATATCTTCCTTATACATGCAATAGAAGACTATCTATACACAAAAAACAAACCAACCCCTTTGAATTCCTTGCTACCAAATGCATACTATGGAAATTGGGTCAACAGGACTGAAATTACTCCAAGGTAAGCAAAGAACATTTATTTTTTACTTTGAGAATGGCTTTTATTTGTTTTACTAAGTAAGAATTTAGAACTCACTTCTGATTTTAACTGAGCATACAGTCAGCCCAATTAGAACAGCAAGAGCTGCTTACCTTCACTGCAAATACAAAAACTCACACACAAAACCAGAAATACGACTGCAAAATGATGGGACCAGAGGTATTTCAACCTTTTTTTTTGTTTCTTCCTCCAATGTAAACAATCCCAAAGAATTTATTTAGAAATTTAAGGTTTTGTTTTATTTTTATAAATAAATAAATGAAAAAAGAGACACTATTCCAATCTCTAGCTAACCTAACAGGTTCAGTTAGTGTTTTATAGGAATGCATTGACATCTACCAGTTTAAAGGCCATGTGAAAGCTGCTATCTCTTTTGTATTTACTTTAGAAAATACACAGGATCTTTATACCAGAGCAAACCAATAAAGGCTGCACCTTTTTTTTTTTTTTTCCCCAAAATAAGATCATTTTGGTCTGAAAGTACTTTTCTTAACTTTCATGAACAACAGAGTGATGCTATCTTCTCAACTATCTTTCAAGAACCAAGAAAATTGAAAGTATAATACATAAAGATTCCCTTAAGGACAATTAATTCACTCATCTATTCAGTAAGTTACACTTGCCACAAAAAATCTACAGCACAGTCAGTATCACCCCAAAAGTGCACTGAAAGCCTATTGTGCATTAGCCAGTTTCATTCTAGAAGGAACTGGATTTTTCAGTTCTTCTAATTAATTGCTTTTCAATAAGTAATGATCACATTTAAAAATGTTTTCCACAGATTCAATATTTAAGAATATTCATCTTCTATCATCCCTACAACTTGCCTACTGCAAAGACAGCTTGGAGAAAAAGGCTATAACAAAACAACAGTCAGAAATTGCTGACAAGCCAGAAAACAGAGAGAGCACCACTGATGCTGAAAACACACTCTACCTGAGCAATAGCATAGCCCTGATAGGAACACAGCCAACAGGGATGTCCCCAAATAGTTCTGTAAGCAAGTTTCTTCCAAAAGTATCTGAATAAAATGAATGAGGCAACAACATAACACCAACTTTATGACACTATTTCAAAAACATATCACAAATAAAATAAATAATTCTCAACACACATTTCAAAATAAAGAGGAATGCACACTCCATTCTAATACATGTTTTGGTAAAACTCCATTGATGTGCCATCTACCATGAAAAATTATTTTGCAGTGAAGCATTTCCAACAGAAAAGTATTGTATTAATATCAAATTGATTTTAAACCAGTTTAGAAGTTCTGCTGTTAGTTAAAAGTAAGGTCAGCAGATGAGGGTGACCATCTCCTACAGAAGGGAGACTCCCACTACAATTTTCCGGGAGGGCATGGGTGCTGGTATTTTGCTTGTTTGGCATTTTGGAGTGGAGGGTTTGCAATGTCCAGTGGAAAGTCTACAAGTTTTTCTCTCACTCTGTGACTACCAGGACACTGGACCTCTTCTGCAGCTGCA